ATGTATAGGAGTTGCAGTAGAATTTCCAGGTAGAGCAACATAGTTGAAAGGTGATAGAATAGGATGTTTTTGAAATATAGTGCTAAGTTGATTGGTAATAATTCTGAGAGATCAATGTAAGAAATAACTAAGTTGAGGTGCTTATATGTTTTTGCACGTAAGCATGCAAAAAAAATTTTCCAGCGTGAGACAATCAATCCAAGACTGTTTATCGATCTTGACCCTCATTTTCATCCTCTTGGCCTCCTTTTTTGGTTTTCTCATTTTCGTCTAGACCCTTTTTTTCAAAATTTTTTTTGTTTGCCCGCAATATCACTATTGTTTTATTTTAGTTTCTCACTTTATTATTTTTTTTGATTCATGTTTGTTTTTTCTTTTTTCAGTTTATCTTTTTTATTTTATATTTTTCTTTGCCTTTTCCTTTTTAATTTCATTTTTTTCTTTCATTTTTTTTATTTTTTTTATTTTTTTTTTTTTTTTTTTTTTTTTTTTTTTTTTTTTTTTTTTTTTTTTTTTTTTTTTTTTTTTTTTTTTTTTTTCTTTGTTTTTTTATTTTTTTTTTTATATTTTTTGTTTTTTTATTTTTTTATTTATTTTTTCTTGTAATTGTTACTCACATAATTTCTTTTTTTTAGGATTAGGTGAACTTTATAATTAGGTACGTACGTACGTACATATGCTAAAAAGTAAGTGTTAAAAGTAAGTAGAACTGTATAGATCTATAATCAGGTATGTATGCATTTCAATACATATATAGTTTAGCTCAATATTATGCATATCACTAAAAAGTATCTTTCTACATCTCAACAATAGGATTATTTTAATAATCTTCCAAATATAGGCTTATAAAACAGTACTAGTATAGCTTTAAATACAAATAATATGCCAAAAACTTGTTTAGACCATTATAGTTATCTAGAAAAAAAAATAAATAGAGCTTATCTCTAACCTCTTTTTAATATAAATAAGCGAAGTTTTACCATATAATTGTTACTTTTATAAAATATAAATAACGAAGTGATTTTAAACATTCACACCTACATAATCCATATAATATGGTCTAAAGGGCAACATTTTCATCATTATTACATTTTTCATGATATATATATATGATGATGTACTTGCGCAATTTTATTAAAAAAAAAAATCAAGATGCAAAATTTTTTTTTTGCAAAAAAAAAAAAAAAAACCCCCGATACGATAGTTTACAAAGCTGACTTTCCAAAGACGCTTGAAACATACCAAGAAATCATTATCTACCTTCATAACAAAACAATACCAACCTTTATAAAACCAAAATATCGATAGAATTTCAAGCACAAAATGAACCCTGGCAGCTAGAAAATACCCACCTTTATATCCAACTCAAAGACCAGCCTCTTTGGCGTTTCGTACCTGCGTGGAACTTGGAATTTCATCAATCGTTGTTTAGACAATTCCATGATAATGATCGGTATATTAATGCAAAAAACTGCTATAAAAAAAATTATGGTGCAACATATTGGTATCACAAAGGCTGAAGTTTATGAATATGTTCGAAGCTACAATATCTGTAATCGAACTACCTCGATTAAAGAAAAGGACGACCTAACACCAGTTGTTAGTTATGGTTCAATAGAATACCTTCAAATGGACCTTGTCGATTTTACGGCATACAAGGATATAAATGATAGGTTTTCCTGGCTTCTGATCATGGTTTGTATCTTTTTGAAATTCTTGTGGACCATCCCGCTTAAGACTAAGGAAGCTGATATTGTCAGTGAAGTTTTAATTTCTCTATTTGCACAATAGGGTGCACCATCGATCCTCCAATCTGATAACAGTAAAGAGTTTACTGCTAACGTGATTAAACATATTTGTAAAGCCCTTGAAATTACGATTCGTTATAGCAGACCAAGACATCTGATGTCGCAAGGGCAAGTCAAACATTTGAATCAGACCATCAGATATAGGTTTACGAAAATGCTATGAAATGATGAATTGCAGTTGCAAAATATTAATTGGAAGGATCGTTTACTAAAATTTGTTTTTTCTTATAATACCACCCAGCATAGTATGCATGGAAAAACTTCTCGTGAAGTTATGTTCGGTTATAAACTCCTCGGCATATACCAACAATTTAATTTCGCCAATTTTCAGAAGATAGAAGTTCCAGAAACATTAACAACACCTCAAACTGTAGAAAAACATTTGAAAAAGGTTTCTGCAATTCATGATGAAGTTAACAATCAACTTGAAAAATCCAGAAAATACATGCAAAAATATTCAAGTGTTCTTCACCATAATAGCCCTATGAATCTGGTCAGTTGGTTGCAATTGCGTCCAACATCGATATAAACCTGACAACCTGAAAAAAGAAGCTTCAAGTTAACTTTAAAGAAACTGGAACTATAGTCAACCTAATGAACAACAACAAAACTGTAGTTGTTGAAATACCCAGTGGTAGTACTATACATTGTCTTGTGAAAAGGATTCATCGCATTAAAAAAAATATTGAAAATGTAGTGATTTTAAACTTTATATATGTATAAGTACATATATACATACCTACTATTATATTAACTTTTTTTATTATTAACCGTTTCGTCTTCGCCAGCTTTGCCACCTTTATCATCTGTGTTGTCTCTGTCAGCCGTGTCTTCTCCATTGGCCATATCACCTCCTTAAATCTTGAAAAAACTTTTTTTTTAGAATTTTTCTCTAAAATTTGGTGGTTTTTTTTTGAAGTTAGCATTAGTTTTTTTTGGTATTAAATTTTTGGGGCTAGTATTAGTTTTTTATGTTAAATTTTTGGGGTTAGCATTAATTTTTGTGCTGCAAATTAGGAGATATAATTTTTAGATATAAATTTGGGGTTTGTATATTAGTAGGATTTATATATAAGTGTGCCTCATATTAGTTTTCATAAAAAGCAAATATTTTAAATAAAAATCACGTGAGAATCTAAAGTTGAGCAGTCCTCATGATAATTCGTGACAATAATTTTAGTATAGATTTTGCAAATATGTTCTACAAGACTAATTGGTCGAGTAAGATTAAGGTTGCTATTGAAAGTATTACATTTGGGTATAGGAAATATTCTACTATTTTTCTATTGTTTTGGGATTTGATCCTGAGTAAGACAAAGATTAAAAAGAACAGTAAGGGCTTGTAAACATGTTAGACCAGAGTGTTTGATCATTTCATAGCTAATGCCAGTAGATCCACAAGTTTTGCCATTTGGAAGCTTAGAAATAATTGAAGTTATTTCTTCAATTATAATTGGTAAAGTAAGAGTGTTGTACCTATACTTGCCAGCCAAACCCGGACAAATCCCAAACTCCTAAAAAATAATTGCTATTTATAAAAAATTAAATCAAACAAATAATTCTAA